TTTTTTTTTTTTTTTTTTTTTTAATGTAGTAAGTTTTTTAAACATTAATCAATAAAATTATTATAAAAACGTTAGAATTGTTAACTTTTCTCTTGATAATTATCAAAAGTTGGCTTAAAACTGATGGTGACTTTGTGATGGACCACAAGTTCAACGAACAAAAATAAAGAGTTATTCTCGGCAAACTTTTTGAATGAAAAATTTTCAAAGGCTAGTTGGTGAAGATCCTCCATTAAAGTCCACAAAACAACAAATGTGATTTGCTAGTCTCCTAATTTTGTCAGCTTAAAGCGGCCCACGAAGTTATTAAAAAAAAAAAAAAAAACTCTTCTCTTCTTCTATCTCAACAAAATTTTAGCACTAAATGACAAGAGAAAAAAAAAAAAAAAAAGAAAAGTTGTGTCCACAACCAGTTTCACATCAAAATAGTTGCATGCCGGTGGGAGATGAAGAGCAAATTACAAGGAAAGCTACAGAAACAGCTAAACTAAGTAGGCAATATTTAGAGCTATAAAAAGTCGAAGAATATGGCACAAAAGTCTAGTATTCTCTTGTGGCGACCTGGAAATTAAAAGAGAAAAACAAGTACCAGCTTTGATCACTATTGAAAGGTGAATACTAGAACTAATACTTTGATCTGTCATCACTTTTCTGCATTAATTTCTATGCTCTTTAATCCAGCTAGTAGTGAGGACTTTAATGAATTTTCTTGGTACTTTTTCTATCATGAAAACGAAAGAAGAAGGTTATAAAATGGACGTACTTATCTATTTGAGTGCCTATGAGCTTGTGTTCTCGGGGTTTTGAATAATTATTCTGTCACACTTTTGCATGCAGGTTTGAAGGGAAATTTCATATAATATTATCAGTTCTCACTCCAGTATCAACCTTCATCCTATTCAATGGATATTTCATCCATAAAGGGATTATCTGAACTGGTAAGATAAGTTGCAGAAAGTGTGAACATGTTTAGTTGTTGTTTTTTTTTTTTTTTTTTGGTTAAAGACAGTGATAGACTATGAAAAATCTGAATATGCAGGGAATGGAAGATTCCAGTTACATAAACCAGTGGCAAATGAACTCTCTTGATGAGCTCAGCATGTTGCCATTAGCAACTACACTCGGAGAGAATCTGCATCATCATTATCATCACCACCCAAGTTTCAACATCAAGGCTTCTTTGGAGAATTCTCACATTGGCATGAAACACCACAAAGTCAACGGCTGGAATTCTAGTGAGAGCATTAATAATCTCTCAAACCCACAAGTACTTGCTTCTTCTCCGAACCTTTTTTCCTTTGTGAGCTCTAATTATAACACAAACCAAATGGGCCTTGTGAAGCCCAAAGAGGAAGCAATTCGTTTGAAGAACATCAACACTGTTACTGTGCCTTCTGATGTGTTGGTTTCTCAAGGCTGCTTCCCCAACCAAAACTATGTCCTTAAGGCCAATCAGGGAGCTAAAAGGATCAGCACAAGTACAAAACTTTCTCAAGCGAAAGATCACATTCTTGCTGAAAGGAAGAGGAGAGAGAAACTCAGCCAGAGGTTCATAGCTTTATCTGCTATAGTTCCAGGCCTAAAGAAGGTACAGTACAACATTCTATTTTCATGTCTCATATATTGTTGCTCTGAAACTTCGAGTTTCGGAAAGTCACAAATTTTTAGTCCACTCAAGTATTTTCACTTAATCCCAGTTTTGTTTATATTGGGGCCACATATTTTGAGAATTAGGGGGTTAGAGATAAAAAATACAAGGAGTCTGAGAGACGTACTTGTGTAATTATAGTGAAATTATGTTGGAACTGAACGTAATTCTAACGTTGTTACGAATCATTATAAATCTTATGTGTGCTTGTTTGTTTGTTTTTCTTCGATTTCATAGCTTTTAGTACAGGGGCGTCTAATTCTTAACACAAACTAGTCTAATAGTTCGTATCTCAATTGACAGATGGACAAGGCTTCCGTGCTGGGAGATGCTATAAAGTACATGAAACAGCTTGAAGAGAAAGTGAAGACACTTGAGGAACAGATGAGGAAGAAGAACATGGAATCAGTAGTCTTTGTGAAGAAGTCCCGGATCTTTGCGGTTGAAGATAACTCTTCCTCGGATGAGAACGTCTCCGGCGGTTCATTCAGCAAGCCGCTACCCGAAATAGAAGCAAGAGTTTGTGACAAAAATGTCCTCATCAGAATTCACTGTGAGAAAAGGAAAGGGATTCTGGAGAAAACAATTGCCGAGGTAGAGAAATTCCACCTAACAGTTATCAACACCAGTTGCATGACCTTTGGAAGTTTTTCTCTTGATGTGACCATCATTGCCCAGGTGTTGTTTTATTATGCTTTCTATTATTAGAATCTCCAAACACTTAACATTAATTATCGGTTTCCTAATCCTTTTACATGGTTGAACTTTTGCAGATGAACGTGGAGTTCTCTCTTACAGTTAAGGATCTTGTCAAGAATCTACGTTTGGCCTTCACCTTGTTCATGATGTGATGAAAAAAGTCCCCAACTACATTACATAAATAAAAAAAAAAAAAAACCATCTTCAAAGTAACCAAGAATTATAATTCTCTATAGTACTATACAATTGGGTCCAAGTCTATTTCAGAATTATGTGTTTTCAAGGCCTCTTTAGTTCTCCACCGAGTTATTGCTGTGAAGTTCAATTTTTTTTTTTTTTGCAGGAGGGATTTTGATTGATCTTCAGTCTTTTTTTTGCATGGTTTAAGTAGTTGACCATGTTTTCCCACACCTGCTTTAAAAATGAATTATCTCACAGCTTTTCTGAGTTTTTTTGAGGGCATGTTGTAAAGTACAACTGAACCTTTATAGTGTAAAACAAAGTGGTTTTTTTTTTTTGGGTGGGTATAGAACTAGGCCTTTTGTTTCAGCAGTTTGTTTGTCCAATGTTTTAGGGGACTAGGAGAAACTCTCTTAAGCCTCTTTCTCTCAAGTGTGATGTCATAATTGTCATGTGTTATGTAAGTTTAAAAAATTCACACTAGTGGAATAAATTCAACTTCTTATGTGTTATATGTATCTTTCACACACACACACACATATATCTTGAGACAAACACACCAAAAAAAAAAAAAAAAAAAAAAAAAAAAAGCAGTTGTGTTTTGTTGAATTGAGTTAATTTCACCACTTGATCAAAGTCAATTGCTTTGGACTTAATATTGGGCTGCTAATGCTTTAGTACTATAGACAGATAGATATATAGATATAGACAAGAAGTGAGAAAAACAAATGTTTGCTTTATCCAAAGGACACTTGGCAAATATTAATGAAAGACAGTAAGATTATATATCACAAGGTTAACAGTTTCTCAACAACTTAATTATATTAAATCATTAATTTAGATATATCCTGCCAAGTGGTTGCAATACAGGCAATACAGCTTCGCTGAGATGAATCAAATTGAATTGAAGTGTGTGGGTTAATTGGAGAGCCAATAATTCAAAGGAGTCCTCTTATAAGTCATTGAATGAAATAAAAATTGGATTTTTGTCCTTATTGGAGATCTTATCTGAAAGTGGACATTTCATTTGCGTAAGCATGATTGAAAGTGATCTTGGTGATGACTTTGTGAACTCTCTCTCATTATACATATTTACTAAAATATTGCTTTTCTTTTCAGAAAATGAAAATAAAAACTAAACCCA